TATATATATATATATATTTCCATGAATGAAATCTTTCTACTTTTTGGTCCCTCCCAAAATTGTGTAATTCCTCTTTGAAGAGAAGAGAGTAGAGAATCGATGTCTAATTTACAACCCCTAACTGGAATGTGATAGTGTTTGGTGTTGGACTTGGAATCCTGAGCCAAATTACCTCATTTTTTATGTGCTCCATATATTTAGAAAATTAAACCACTTTTTGCTATGAATTCTTAGATTCCTACCTCAACCGTCAGAATGTTCAGGGATTTGCCACCAAATGTGGTCATATTGGCACTAGCCACCCTCAGTCCAATTGAATGAATAGCTTCCATCAACTTTGAAAACCCACCTTTCTTCTGCTCACAGTATAACTTAATCATGAAACATGTCTTGCTAATGTGATGCACTTCTGCTTGCACCTGCTAACGTGTTAGCAAATTATATAAAGTCACTAGGATAAAACAGTGAAGAGGTTATGTAAACTCTGTACCTTCATCTGTGTCTTCTTAGTGCATTCAGAAGAACTTTGATTAAGAGGGTTACTTCTGGTTCCCTCTTGTTCCTTGCCTAATGGCATCCTCAATTGTGGTGTGTTTTTCTCACTGTTCTGTACTTCCAATGCCCTGACCTCATCTTTGAGTTGTTTTACTTGTGTTTGCAATTCCTTTATGTAGTCAACTGCATCAGCAAGAATTGCAGCTCTATCCATCTGCCAAAATTTAGTGCATCAGATACTAGGCAAAATTAAGGACAACCATTATCAAAGTTCGTTTGTGTAAACTTATTGAGAAACACTTTTAGGAGAAAAAGATAGAAATAAATAAATAAATAAAATAAGCTTTTCTACTGGCTAAAATTAGTTTATACATAATTTGTAAAAATTCTCTCCTATTAACTTTTCCAAAATTTTATTTTTATTTGTTAGTTAGTTTTAAGTTTTAACTGATCATAGATAAATTTATTTTGATTTTCCACCATATTTTTACCATGTTTCCGGAGAATCTTATGCAAATGGGCCCTTAACATGCTTTTAAGTTATGCAGTTTATATACCTTGGTTATCTTGGGGACTAGAGACCGCAGAGTGAAAAGCCCCTTCTTTATCTTGTTCCTCCTATTCCTCTCTGTGACAAGATTTTTAGCCTGGTAGCATTCCTTATGAGGCTCCTTGTCCAATTTTGATTTATCTTCCCCATTTCTACAAAGGGAAGTCAAACCTCCCTTCTGTTTCCCTGAAGTTTTATTGTACTTGGGCATTTTGGTTTTGGGGATGGAAGATATTTTAGATGGCTGTTTAATATATTCATGTGGAATCAAGCAAGCAAACTTTGAATCCAGTGATGGTTCTTCAGTTGATGGATTAGACCCATTGGAGGGCCCTTCAATGCTAGGATGGGAGTTGCACTGTTTTGTTGCAGGCTGGTGGACACTAGGATTTAAAGTTGACATGTGTGGTGGCCTCCACTGTGAGTATTGTTCCCTTAATGGCAAGTGTTCATTGATGTTCAGAGTCGTGTAGCTCTGTGCAGATATGGCTTCTTGCTTTGAAGAGACACAACCGTGTGCTGTTATCAACTCTATCATATTCATATCCATTGGAATCTGAGAAAGATGAATACTTCATTAACACAAGAGTTTTCAATACAAGTGCTTCCAACAAGTTTCAAGATTTATACTCTACCAGTTTTTCAGTGAAGAGCTCAATAAGGCCACCAACAATCGGGATCAAAACTTGGGTTCCAATTGAGTCCTGTCCAAACAGTGAGAATTTTATATTTTTAGTTTATGGTCATATTAAACATGGTGAGCAACCATTCACAATCTCAGCTAAAATGTCATATATCTGCCTGTATCCATGACAAATTGATAACCATTGGGCAATATAATTTTTTTTATATAATTGATTAGTTACTTTGAGGAGGTGATTGTTTCAGCCGGAAATTTTATCAGGGTTGTCACTGATTTTGAATGTTCATGTATTAAAATGAACTCAAAGGTCATTAGTTAATCAGATTAACGCAAGAGAATTTACAATAGCCATCAGAGAACATAGGAGGTGCTCGTTGATGCCTTTACTAGGACTTACAAATGTAAAACCATTTCTACTTGCAAATCAGAATTTCATGCTATAATGGAGAGTGTCACCACTTTAAAGAAAAAGAATAAATGAAAAAAAAATCCTTTTTACTACATTAAGTTTTTACTAGGTACAAAATAAAATAATTACTCAAAAGAGTAGTATCATAGTCATTACTTCAGGGGACCTTCCCTACCCTAATTCTCATCCACAAAACAAAACCTTTAGTTACGAACAATACTAAAATATTGGTTTGTTTCAAGCAATATCAGGAAGCCAACATATGGAGAGGGATTAATTTGAGTGAGCCAACGTGAGAAAGAAAACAAACAGTAAATCTTTCGACATTATAATCCAAAGAAATTACCACCTGGGTAAGCCATCTTGATTGTTGTGATATGGCAACCTCTCCATGCACACTGGATCAGATAATTATCATTAGTGTTAAAAATAACTGAAAATTACCAAACATACATACATGTATTGGCACATAGACAAACACTAGGAGAAAGAGTGAGAGACCCAGAATAGAGAGACAATGCAAAAGGAAGCTGAGCAAGAGCCTCACAAGCCTTTGTTCTAACTTGATGCTGAATATGGTTATCCCTGCAAATGGGAGCCAAGTGGCATACTTCACTCTTTTCCCCTTTTGGCCTCACCACATCAATGTTCACACTGCAACTCCCTCTACAACAACAACCTATCCACTCAATGAACCTACACAGGGATCATAATGCATCAAAAACCTGATAATAAACAAATGAAAAACAGTGAAAAATAGAGAGAAAGTAAAAATGGCTTCTTTAATAGTAGTACCTTGTTGGGTCATCCCCATATTTCCAAACAACTATATAATCCCAAGCATTGGTCTTAACAAGGGGTCTAAGCCACTCAACTGCACCAAAACCACTCATTGTCTCTCCTAAGAATGCTGCTTTGCTCTTGGGACTTAAAAGTTAAAAACTTTTGTGTATGCTTTTGTTACATGGACCATTTCATGTTCCCTTTATAACAGTCTCCCAAATTGAAGCACATGGTACACGACAAGTTCTTAACATTTACGGAGTGGTGTATCATTCTTATCAGTAGCATATCTCTGACAGTGGGAATCTTGTACCTGCCAGTGAATGAAGGCCAGAAGTTGTTTTTGACTAACTAACCGTGACTAGTAATACAAAATAATCATCTTCAACAAGTTGCATTGAAAGCAACCCATAACTGCACAATCATTAGATTCCTTTTATTAGAATTTTTTTATGAATAATTTTTTTTTAAAGTATTATATATATTTTCACTTACTTTATCTTTTTAGTCTTTATAATTAAAAATATCTTTATAGTTTAAAATAGATATTTTTGGTTACTATATTTATATTTTTCAATTTTTTGTAATTTTATATTTAAGATAATTTTTTTAATTTTTATATTTTCAGTTTATAATCTTTTAATTCTTATAATTAACTTTTTTTTGTTGGTAATGTTGACCATTATGTATTGACTTGATAGAAGCCTTGAATTTTGTAAAGGAAAAAAGAAAAATGTTTTAACAATAAAAGTAGGGTACAAAAAAAGACACAAAACACCAAAATATTAATTTAGAATAACTTTAACAAAATAAATTTGACATCACACACAAAATTAAATTAATACATTCACGTGTAATACAAAAGAGACAATATGTTGCAAAAAAATAATTAACGACAAAGATAAAAGATTAAAAAATTGTAAATATAGAAATTAAAAAACCTATTTTGAATTAAAAGAATTAAAAAGGATTGAAAATAATAAATAAAGACTAAAAAAATCTTTTTTAAATTATATGGATTAAAAGATAAAATAAGTGAAACTATAGGAATTAAAAAAATATTTTAATTTTTTTTATTTTCTATTTCTTTTTTCTGTTGGTTGGATAGTGGGGCCAAATTTTATTATCATTTATTTTTGCTCACATGATAAAATTCAACGAGAAATGCAATTTTATGGATATAATTCAACTTCTGCTAAGTTGTTTCTAGCAAGATCGTCTAATTTAATCTTCACGGTTTTCAAATTTGGGCAGTTTCACTAATCAGCTAAAACCAAACTTCATGAGCCACACATGTCAAAGGCATACAAAACACTGAAAACAGAATTAAACACATCGACAGGATTTATGATGGTGATGATAAATGTACATACAAACAAGGGGTGTATGAGCTAAAAGAAGAGAAAAATAGAGAGAGAGAAAATAAAGGAAGACAAGATATATATGATGGGTGCAACACTGAACACAAAATAGCTTTCAGACTAAGCTATAGTTGGGAATTATCGCATCTAGTGCTTAACTCTATGAACGCAAAGTAAACTATGCGAAAGTGAGAATAAAGATAAGGAGTAGAAAAATGATATCAGAATTTTTACGTAGAAAACTTTTTTAATGTGAGTAAGAAAAAATCACGAGACTTAGTTTAATAAAAGATCTTTATTGTGGAAATAGGATTATAAATGGTCTCTCTTTCTCAAAAAACGAGTCTCACTACTTTCGAATGATTATCTCTCAATTTCTACCGAGTGTAATTGAAATAACTCTCTTTATTTCAAAGAGCAATACAAGTTTTTCGCTTTACTTCTCTATTTTTCTCAAAGAGAATTCTAGATTGTATTAGAGGGAATCCATATCTCTCTTTGGGTGGTGACTCCCTTATCTTGGTGGTAACTATTCTTATTACAAGTCTTCCTATTTATAGAGGATGATATACACGTTATTTATGATTTTTCATTCATGATTCTTTATTCATGACTCTTCAATCATAACTTTCCGTTAATAATTTTTCATTTATGATTGAAAACTTTGGATTGATTTTTCAACATCTATAAACTAGACAATTATATATTAGACTAAGTAGACTATACAATAGATCAAACAAATCGAGGGGATAGACTAAACAAATGAAAAAACAAAAACAAAAACAATCTCACAAAAAAAAGGGAGCAACAACTAATATAATATATTATAGTTATGAACTTAGTTTTTTCTCACACTTAATGTGTCATAACTAAACTATAACTAATTATCATTTTCTTATGGTTGCAATTTACTTTTTTCTGATCCAAGTAACTTTTAACCAATCTTACAAATTAACACAAAAGTTGAACGAACATTTAAAATAAAATAAAAAAACTCAAATTCTAATGCTCTTCCTTGAGATTTTTCTTCAACACTCCAAGCCTTGATCTTAACATTTCAAATTTTCCATTTGGAAGAGCTTTGGTCATGATATCAACAATTTGATTTTCTAAACTACAATGCTTTAAGCTAACTTTCTTTGCTTTCTCTACTTCTTTAATGACATGATATTTCACATTGATATGCTTAGTCCTTCCATGTTGAACATGATTTTTTGTTATAGTAAAATTTGACTTGCTGTCCACCCAAATAATTGTTGCTACATCTTAATTTTGCCCAACATCTATTAATTTTTTTTTAACTAAACAACTTGATTTGTAGTTGTTGTAGCTGAAATATACTCTGCTTCAGTTAAATATTGGCCAACAACTTCTTGTTTCTTTGAATTCCATGAGAAAATACCACTGCCAAATGAGAAAACACAGTCTGAGGTACTCTTTGAATTATCTAAACTTCCTATTCAGTAACTATCAACAAGTCCTTAGAGCTATCCACTTTCCTTTTTTCTAAAACTAAAGACCATAGTTTGTTGTGCCCCTTATGTACCTTAAAACTCACTTTGCTACACCAAGATGAATTTAACTTGGAATAAACTTGCAATAAAAATCAAATTTGGCCTAGTAGGTGAAAGATATAACAAACTTCCGATTACACTTCTGTAGACAAACACATCTCCTTTTCTATCATCTTCATTCTTGAATAGTTTTTCATTGACAATCAATGGAATGGCAACAAACTTGTATCTATCCATATGGAACTTTTTCTAGTTCTCCAAAGAATATTTCTTTTGTTAAATGAAGATTCCATCTTTTGATCAGTAAATCTCCATTTCAAGAAAATACTTTATTTCCCTTGAATCCGTCATTTCAAATTTATTATCCATATCAAGAATTTAGTTTCTCATGCAACGATCTTAAAGGAACACATATATTTGCTGATGAGATCTTTGACAATGGCAAGATCCAACCTTTTTTGGCTACTTTTGACCTATTTATTGTTCTTACCACCATATCTAACTTCAACACCTTAGATCTTCAACAACCACTAAAGAAGCATTTTGTTGTTGAGCAACCTAATAAATTTTTCTCACACTCAAAAGGTATATTAAAAAGATCATGCAACGAGGTTTCACCAAAAGTTACAATGGTTGAAATGGATGCTTCAAATAAGAAATGCAAGAAGAGCAAATCTATGGATTTCTTGAAGACTTGCAGATTTCGAAAACACATTAAGCATCAAATGAGTAGTGACACTACAAAAAAAATGCAATTTAGCGACCACCAAAATCGGTCACTAAATTGCAAAAATCGGTCGCTATTTACCTTAGCGACCGAATTTAATCAGTCGCTAAAACCCTGGTCGCTAAGCTATTTAGCGACCGAAAATTTCGATCGCTAATTCGGTCGCTAAATGGTTGAAATGATTTTGGTCGTTGAAGTGTATGAGACCAAATTAGTGACCGAATAAATCGGTTGCTAAATATTTATTTTTTATTTTATTAAATTTTATAGACGTCGCAAATTTGGTCGCTATGAATCACTCATGTTTGGCCTCTTAAGGATTTTATTTCACAATACTTAAGTTTTTAGTATGTTTTGTCCTTAATTACACAATTTTTGGAAACTTCCCAGAAGTCACCCATCCCTACATTACTCCAAGTCAGGCACGCTTAACTGTGAAGTTCTTATGAGATAAGCTACCGAAAAGCAAATGCATGTTGTTAGTATAAGTAGTACAAATTAATTCATTTAAGTCATCCTCAACTATCCAATCTCATACTTATATTATTTTTGGATCCTTATCATTTTGGTATATCTGGACCGTTATAAATATATAATAATATATATAATAATTATATTACTAATAATAATTATTATATTACATTTAATTAATCTTTATTTATATATATACTTACTTTTATAATTAACAATCTACTTATTTCTATTTAAAATTAATTTTATGATACAATTTAAATTATTTATTATAAATTTAAAAGTTTAAGTAATAATTTATATATTTTAAAATGAGAAG